GGCACTTGCGGGGTCGAGGCGAGTCCGACGCAGCGGTCGTCGCGAAGAAACTTCGACTGTAGATCCGCTTTGCAGGAGTGCGCGCGCCAATCTGGTTCGAGATCGCAATGTCCTCCTGTGCAGGGCGCGCGTTGGTTCTTTCGGCGAATGCAGACCTGTGCCTTTTCTCCCCGAACTTTGTCTTGGCGCCGCGTGATCGAGCGGGGTCGTCCTTCCTGCGCGCTGTTAGTATTTCCGACGAAGGGGCCCCTGCGCAGTATTCAAGTGGCTCCTGGCGCCCCGCGGGAGCGTGGCTATCTAGGCGATCCGCGGAACTGTTCTGGGCCTGGGGCCCGCGCGTCTCGCATAATAATTCGCTCTCGATGCATTCGTGCCAGCTCCTAGCGTTGCGCGGCGGCGCGGGCGGCGCCTGATGCGCCCGCGCTCCGCTCGAGCGCCGGGCTGCTTCGTCCGGTCTGCTCTGGGCGGGGCCCGCGCGTGCAGCGCGCCGCCGTCGTTTATTGTTGCGGCCCGAAAACGTGCAGGCGTTTCAGCGCACTCTGTCGGGGCTTCTCCGTTTCGCTCCGCTCTCGGGCCTGTCTGGCCTGAGTTGTTTCCGTGGCGACTTCCTTGAGCGTTCCGCAGGATTCGAGACTCTTCTATTGGCGCCCGACCATCGGGGTGCAATCTTCCCCGGAGAGCCGGGGGGTTTTCTTGGGATGGCCGAGGACATGTCATTTTTATGTCTTTCGTTTTTTTTTTTTTTTTTTTTTTTTTTTTTTTTTTTTTTTTTTTTTTTTTTTTTTTTTTTTTTTTTTTTTTTTTTTTTTTTTTTTTTTTTTTGTTTTTTTGTTTTTTTTTGTTTTTTTTTTTTGTTATTATTATATATATATATATATATATAAAATATAAAAATTCGTATTTGCATTTTTCTTTTCCGTCCTTGTCTTTCCCCATTTTGTCTTGCTTTCTGTTCGTTCTTTTTTTCTGTCCTCTTGTCCTCGCTCTCTTTCTCTTTTTGTATCGTTCCCTGGTCTGTTCGCAGCGTGCTTCTACTGTCGCTCGTCGCTCCCCTTGCCCCTGGTTCCTCCTTTAGCCGCTCCTCTGGCCGCCCGCATGGAGCGCTGGGCGCGTGCGCTGCCTTTTTTCCGTGCTCGTGGGCCTGTGCTGTTCTCACCCCCTGTCTCCCCCCCCCCGTTTCCCGTCGGGCATGTCCTTTCACCTTCTCGTGGGGAGGAATATGATGAAGCGGAAGACCATGGATGCCAGGACAGGCGAGATCTTCGAGGATATCGAGATCGACGAGGACACGACGACGTCTCACTTGCAGCGAGGCATGGACAAGCGGCGCGACATCGTAGTCGAGGTATGGCATGCTGCCTGGGAGCGAGCTGCTGCTGCCGATGACCCACCACCAGCGCCACCTGCGCCGAAATGTTTCGACGGGCTGACCGAGTCGATGCCTTCAAGCCCGTCTTCAGTGCAGCGGGCCCAGGTCATTTCTCTTCTGCGGGAGGACGAGGACTTTGCCGAGATCTACGCTGCTCGTGCACTTCTGCGCCGCTACGAAGACGAGAGCAGCGCCGTCGACGACGAGAATGTGTACCATCATTTGGAGGCGCGCCTTGCCGCGCGAGGTGTTGGTGGTCGATAGGCTGCGCGGCGAGCCTCAGCGGCCCTCCGCATGATTGATGACTGCAGCTACAGGGGCGGGCCACTCTACAAGGGCGAGTGGGATTCGACGTTGTTGAGTTTTGTTCCGAAGGTAGTCGTTTCGCGTGGTGGTCTTCGAGAATTTCGCTGCAATGGCAGATAGTGCGGGCTGCCGCTGAGGAGGCAGCTGTTATTCTATTCACTGTCACGCCAGCGAGACTATGGGCATTCACAGCTCTCCCGAGGACGCCCCGGCCAAGCTCGCGAAGCAGGGGGTGGAGCGCGGCGTTCAGAAGTGGATAATGTCGTGCTGCGCTTGCCGGATGGTCGAGCCAGCGCGCGGCTCGACTGCCGATGTGAGGATGTAGCTTTACGGCAGACCTTTCAGGCTGATTGGTGTCGACGCCTTTGGGCCGACCTCGCCTGAGTCGGAGAGCTGCAGCTACATCTTGCGCGCGGAGTGCGCCTTCTCGCGCTGCGCCTAGCTCAAGGCAGCGCCAGACAACGCGGCTTCGACGTGGGCGAAGTTCTTCGTGGAGGGCGTCATGTTATGTTCGACCTGGCCGGCTTCCCGCCAGTGCTGCGGGGCGACCCGGGCAGCGCGCTCGCGAGCGAAATCGTGGCCCAGATCAACGACGTGCTCGGGGTTGAGCATTCGCTGGGCTGCGCCTGCCACCCCGAGTCGCAGGACTTCGTGGAGGCGCGCCATCAGAAGATCAACAGGATCCTGGCTATGTATTGCAGCTAGCACCCTGAACGCTGGGCGCGCTGGGTACCTTTGGCGCAGCGGTGTTTTCGCGCGACGCCGATGCCTCGCCGCTCTGGCAGGTCTGCGTTCGAGATCGTGACTGGCAAGGCCCCGCAGGGCCCGATCGAGGAGGTCTTCACGAGGCTCGAGCCGCCACTACGTGCGCGACTTCATCGAGCACTTGGAGTCGACGCGTGCCACGGCGGTGGCCAGAGATATCATGGCGGCCCACGACGAGGAGCAGCATGCGCGCGCGCTGCAGGGGCCAGGCGAGTGGTGGTCTGTCTTGGTCGCGTGTTAGACGAATCCAGATGTGCCGCGTGGTGAAGTAAAAATGCGGTTTGTTTGACGAAGTTGCTGCAAGCATACGGTATCAACGATAGTGCACGTATTGCATTTTGACAGGGACGAGGGGTATCAACACCCGTTTTGGTGAAGGTACACGATTTCATATGCAGTATGAGCGATCGTGCGGAACACACACGGGAAAACCCTATCCGAGTGAGGGGGGCGATGGATTTGGGCTCGGGGTGGAGGTGGATGTGTCTGTTGCTTCGAGAAAACATATGGAGGGCGCCAGTCACCGCTCGAAATGGCCACGTGCCAGCCACCGGCGGCGACCAACCGAAAAGCAGTTGCATCTAGCCGCGAGCGGCCGACGGCGACAATTAGCCGAAAAACCACAGTATCCAGCCAGTGCGCGAGAGACGGTCGCGAAACGTCCACGGGTGGCGTCCAGGTAAAAACCTGTAATACCCAGTCACACTGCTGAGGCCGAAGCAGGATACATGTAGTGCAAAAGTTGTGTGGGTAGGTAGACGTTACGTCCCGCACGTGTGGATAAGAGTTGCAGGATGGGCAGGGGCCACGTTCGTGGGCTCGCATGGAGCATTGTCGCCGCGCAACGGTCCCGCGTATCGGTTTCATGTATTGCTCGTGTGGTGCGGTCACGTTTTGCCCGCGTGTTTTTTCCCACGATATGTTTGCTCGTATAGACCGTGTATAACCTCATTGATTTTCGTTGCGTATTGCCGCCTATACATTGCTTTTGTTGTATCGCCCCCACTCCCAAGTATTGCCCCAACGTCACGCCCAGAAGCCGACCCTTCCATCTGTTGACGTGCGCGCATAGCACGCACATGACTATTCGAACCCTTTGTTTCTGATGTGGCATAATGGTGGCGCTTTACTCCTCGCCGGCACCCGGTATGGTATGATTGGTGTCGTCGGTCGTCCGCCGGACTTCGAATTATACGCCGTTCCGTTGTCGCACATTTGGTATAACAAACATGTGGCGTTGGAGTTTCAGGTAGTGAGTGAAACATCTGCGCATGGCTGACGTGGCCAAGAGTTCCAGTTATCCACGCAAAGTATGATTTGTATCGGACATTGATATGCGATGTGTTGGTGTTTGCGGAATAACGTACATCGATCGTGTTTCGGAATTCAACGAATAACTATGATAATGGTTATGGTAATGCTTGTGGGATTGCTGGCTGGGCGATGACAATTCTTATTTTGAATGACATAAGTCATGCGAGCAGTATGATAGTGACAAGATACGTCAGATGACAGGTTCAATTGCGCGTCCCAATCTTTCCAGCCGTTTGATCGGTTGTAAGCCTGTCCATCGGGCAGTTGTGACATTATGTAGGTTGTCTACGCTTCTAATCGACATCTTTGATACAGAGTTCCACAACGCGGCACAGTCGTTAGTATGTTAGTTTTGGTTGTGTTGGGCGACGGGCGATTTGAATTAGATAATGTGTACAGGCGCTGCTGATAGGGAGAGAAAAGCGAGTTGTTGAAAGAACGTTGGAGAGAGAAGCAGAAGAGGAATAACTCTTTGGATTTGACAGCGTCGGGTAACTGCTCATTGGCTCCAGTTTTATTTTCAGTTCAAAGCGTGATAACAGAGGGAATGAGAGAGGAGGAGGAGGAGGAGAAGGAGATGAGCGGGAGGAGGAGGGGCAAACGGAGGAGGAGGGGCAGGCGCTTTTGGAATTTCGCTTTCTGGGATAATGTTTCTCCAATTAGGCTTGCCTAAGGGGTTCTTACTTGCTTAAAAGTTGGTGCTTCGTATTCTTACTTTGCCCGTTGCCCAGAGGTTCCTCGGCTTCCTCGAGTTCTCGGGTTCCCTTTCCCGGTGCCTCCTACTGTTACTCTACCCGTTGCCTGGAGGTTCCTCGGGTTCCATGGGTTCATTGGATTCCCCGCCCCCAGTGCCTCCTATTATTACGTTTCCCGTTCTTCGGAGGTTCCTTAGGTTGGGTTCCTCAGGTTCCCCGCCCTGGTTGTCCGTTTTGTTTTCCAGCAGCGCCAGGCAACGCCAGGCAACGTCAAGCAACGCCGAGCAGCGTCCAGCAGATTTAAGCAGTGCAAAGCAACGCAAAGCAGTGCCAAGAAACGCTAAGCAATGCCAAGCAACGCCAAGCAACGCCAAGCAATGCCAAGGAGCGCCAAGCAATGCCAAGCAATGCAGAGTTATGCCAAGCAATGCCAAGCAACGCCAAGCAAGGAAAGCAATGCCAAGCAGTACCAAGCAATGCCAGCTAAATCCGACCAATGCCAAGCAATGCCAAGTAATGCAATACAATGCAACACAAAGAAATATAATTACAAGCAATTCTAAGCAACGCCGCTTAGGAAGCATTCCCCTACTTGGGGCCGCGCCTGTTTCATCTTTGAATTTCACGTGCGATTTGTGAGTTTCTCGATTGCAAGAACAAGGGAGGGCACGATTCTGCATCCGCGCCAATATGCCCCCCAGTGCTTGCCTTCGGCTGCCACAAATCTGCTTGGTGCGGCCGTGCTTTTGCCTGTCCCTGGCCCTGGTGATTGCCCTCCGCTGCTGCTAGCTTCTTCGGTTCGGCCTTGTCCCCGACTGATTGTCCTCGCCCATGGCTCCCTCGCTGCTGCCAGTTCCCTTGGCTTGGCCACATCCTTGGCTGTCCCTGGCCCTAGTGCATGTCCCGCGTTGCCGCTCATTTCCACGCTTTTGCTTTGTCCTCGACTGTCTCTGGCCTTGGTGTCTGCGTTCCGTGCAGCCACTTTCCCTGGTTGGCCTTGTCTCGGACTATCCCTGTTTCTGGTGTTTGCCCTCCGCTGCTACCAGTTTCATCGTTTCGGCCCTGGCCCTGATTGTCCCTGGCCCTGGTGCTTGCCTTCCGCTGCCGTCGATTTTGTCGGTTCGGCCTTGTCCCAAATTGTGCGGTTTTGCTTGGTGGCTGGTGACGCCCATCTGTTTGGTTTGGCCTTGCCACGACTGTCCCTGGTCCCGGTGTTTGCACTCCGCTGCCGCCAATAGTTATTTGTGGTAGCCGCAAGTGAGGGCGAAGTCTAGTTTGATTTGCCTGTCGCGGCACCCCGATAGACCCTAGCGGCGCGAGCAAGTGGCGCCAAGCCATGCCGGGCTGACGTCCGCCAGAAGCGGCCGGCAAAGTGATAATGCCGCGCACTCAAGTAGCGACAGTTACGGCCAGCCTATTTTATTTGGCATTGTGCATCATAAGTAGTGCCAGGCATAATGCATTACGTTCTTGATATTTCAACTTGGACGCTTGACTCGCGCTTTCCCAAATCTGTCGAAGCTTCAACACAGTTCAAACGCCATCACCGTCACGCTGTATCACGCTGTATCTGTAGCAACTCTATCTCAAGCCAGCTTGGTGCACGACCCGCTAGCCCAGGCATTGTGCTTCGTTCCTTGCTGACGCAAACATAGGAACACTTGAACGCCCGAGATGCTTTGGGTGTGCATCATAATTAGGATGTTTGTCGTGATGGCTGCCAGTGGTGTGGCGCAAGACCTCAGCGAAGGCTCGATGGTGAGCACTCTTGGTATTGGAGATCTTGTGCGGGCACGTGCATCGCGCCCGCATGTCAAGTCTCCAGTGACTGGCAGCAGCGCGGTGGCGGCCTTCGCCAACATGAACCGAGTTCTGTCGAGGGGCGGTGCCCGGACGCTGCCTTGTGACGCATTCGACCATACAGATTTGAACCGCCTTGCGCGCACATTGTATGCTGCGCGCTCAGTTGAATTGCACGATCTCTATGCTTCCCGCAGCGATCGCCGTGCATTCCATTTCGAGGACTTTGGCTACAAGGAGCGTCTGTGGTCCGCAGAGGAGGTAGCAGCAGGAGTTCTGTCTGAGGAGTCGTACAACGCCACGCGCGATGGAAAGTGCGCCGAAATGGTGATGTGGTATGTGCATCACTTGTCCCAGGCAAAGCGTGAGTCATTGCATTTTCTTGAGGACTTTGTCTTGCCATTAATGCCGCACTCCATCGCTTCAGGTGGAATGGCAGGTCATGAGTACGCATTGCAGATAAGTTGTACTGATTGCCACGTAGCTGTTCAACAGCCTGGAAAGCCTCCTATCCGACCAGTTCCTCCACGCAATGCCACTGGTCCTCAGTATCCCGAAGTATGCCCCAGTAGCCAAGGCTCGCTAACACCGTCTGTGTGGTACAATCGCACCAAGCGGTGCGATTGGGACTACGAGCCATTCTGCAAGCCGTGCGAGGGCATTGGCGGGCTTGTGTGGGGTCCAGGGGAGAAAGAGTGGAATGCAATGCCGTGCGAGCCTTTGCTGATGCCGGCAGCAATTTCTCATGACAACCTCACCAGTCCATTGTGGCCGAAGGCGTTCACAGTCCAGGAATACGCTGATCTTACTTTCCCAGGGAGGGACCCATGCAACGTCAAATTCAGAAATTCGACCTACACGTTATATTTCGACACCCGGCCCGAAGGCCCTCTTTACCATACTGTCGGCCACACTGGGCCATCAGGTCCGTCACCGTTTCCGGGGAAGTCTTGGGCCTTGGCGAACGGCAATTTCTACAACACGGTTACTGCCGCTGGCAAGGACGCGTTCTGCATTTGTCTCTCGCCCCAGGATCCAGTCCAGAAAAATGCCATCACTGGTCCGTTGAGGTACGATTTTCTTGACACAGCGAAGCTAATTGGACGAGAACGCATCATACCAGAGTACATTGGGCGGTCATTGGTGGCCGATCACTGGGTCAAGGGACCTCATCACTTCTGGATCGAGGTGTCGACCAACTTGATGGTACGCGAATGGCAGCCTTTCAATGGGCATCAGATCTACTATAATTGGAATCTTACGCGTCCAGATCCAGCGCTGATCGATGTACCCGAAATATGCTACAAGGGCTTGCTGCACGTCAATGTTAGTTGTGTTGCGCCGCCGCCGTCTTTGCCCCAAGCGTCTTCCATGTTTGTTTGATTGCGGTCAGTTCTAGCGTACATGGAATTTTCATTGCTCGAAGGTGGAGTCCTTGCCAGGTAGGAACCGTTGCCTTCAAGTCATAGTTCAATGAATGGTCTAGTTTGTTGTGGATCCCTAGTTTTGTTGTTCATTCTTCCCGATTCTCTTGCGTATGGTTGGCCCAGGCGGTGCCCATCGGTCTCGAGCGCCAGACAGCCAGGTCGACAGGCAGATGGTTTTTCCTTTCTGCCACGGCCAACACCATCGCTATTGATTTTGACACCAGTCCAACGTCATATCGCGACATCTTCTGGGAGGAGGGTCAGATGTGATGGGCAAAAATCAGTGCTTTGAATTGCAGCAGCAGCGCGCGCGGGAGAACAGACATAAGCACACAAGGTTGCTATATATACATCGACGGGAATCCACATTATGTATATACACATGCACATCATACATATGCATGCCTGTATTCCCCAGACGTGCCACCACAAGTCAAATGTCAATTTCGTTTTCAGATGGAGCTTTAGAACTAGTGCGTTCTGAATGCATGGCGTCTGTTCTTCACATTGTCAGTTCGGAATGTACAATCCAGACTTCGTGTAATAATAGAAGCGTCAGTGCGAGCCGATAGGTACCAGTTGTGAGAGAGAGAGAGAGAGAGAGAGAGAGAGAGAAAGCCATGTCCAGAAGATCGTCAGGATAGCTTTTCATGTGTGCCAGTTGTGAGAGGTACCAGCAGATAGGTACCATCAGACAGGTACCACTGGTGAGTGGCGAGCATCTGCGTCGGCAGGGTGTTTTTGGAGTTTCGGTGAGGAGGCTTCCTCGCCAACGATGACGTGGTTGCTTGATGCGATCTTACGGTGCAAATCACAAACTCGATCCTGGTTTCTGTTTGGGGCCATGCCTTTGGTAGACACACATGTATCTTTCACTATCATCCCTGAAACACGCGCTGCGTAGGCAGCATCCCTTTCGGGAGGAAGCATGCTCCAGCCAGGCACGGAGTCTTCATACCGGGGGTCCAGCGGGTTTCGAGTCCCAGAAGCCTTCAGCAAGATGTCGTCCCGTCCAGCCTCCAATCCATCCAGCCTGCATCCCTGCCTCCCTCTCTCTCTCTCTCTTTCTCTCCCATCTTCCCTCCTCCCGCTCCGCCCTGCCATTTTTTTCTTTCTGGCTCCTCCTGCATCCCTCGCTGCGCGCGACCTACAGGTGCCCGCCGCTGTCGTGGGAAAAATTGCACTCGAGAGACGGCGCCGCGAGAGCGGTTCTTCGACGATGTGAGGGTGGTGCGTCGATCCGCGTGACGCAACACCCGTGCAAGAAAAAGACTATGGCGAAGGATCTGACAACAGGCAGTTGTGAGTTCCGCCGTTGTGAGTATCGCCTTCGGTGGATCTCCTTGTGGGGCCATGCGGGCGCTGCCACTGGGGCCGTAGGTGGGGCTCTCTACGTGGCCACGAAGCGTGTGAGCGGTGTGCTGAAATTGGGCGGGGCCGCCATGTGGACGGTGTCTCTGGGGCCTTCGGTGGAGCTCCCTTTTGGGGCAACGAAACGTGTGAGGGTTGTGCGCAAACGGGCGTGACGCCCACATGTGCGCAGTGCCTCTGGGGCCTTCCGTGGAGCTCCCTATGGGGCCACGAAGCGTGTGGTGACTGTGCCGAAAATTGACGTGACGCCCACATGTGGACGGTGCCTCTGGGGCCTTCGGTGGAGCTCCCTTGGGGGCCACGAACGTTTGAGGGGTGTGCCGAACTGGGCATGCGGAGGGCAGAAGCAGGGATGGGAAGGAGGGAGGAGGGGGAGGGAGGATGTTGCGTGTACTTTCTCAGAGTTACACGGTCGGAGGGCGCGTGCTTTTCTTCAACCTTTTGTGTTTCTCAATGGTATTTGCACGCGCCTTGCATCCCTGACGCGTTCAACTTCCAGAAGCGGCGCGGATGTATGACCGGCCGTTTTCACCACTTGGCTATCGCTTGAACCCGCTTCAGTCTTTATAATTTTGAAGATTGAAATTTTCACCCGATCAACGAGTGTAGGACTGTATCTTTTGGAGTGGATCTCTCGCCTGAGGTGTCAAACGATCAGTGACCCCAAAGCTGGAATGTCCGATAGCCATTTGGCGGGAACTCGTTCCATGTAATCGTGATCTCGTTTGGGAGCTTCATATGAACATGTGTTCTTATCAGAGTGGGCCCAGCGCGATTCCCCCTCAACCTCATTGCGTCTTTGCACGCTACTCCTGTCGATACTGAATGTGACCGTTGATCGGAATTATGTAGCGGAGACTGCTCTCACAAGTTGAATCCTGCCACCACGTGCGCTAGGCCCAGTGGGTTCTGACTCATCCAGCCCTCCAAAGTCCCCTCTAACAGGGCCAAGGCAGAATCACCGTCTAATTCTCCCATGCTCTGATTTTGTGTGGCTTGTGGGGCGCTCGCCTCTCCAGCGGGCGCTCGCAGCAGCGAACAGGACCGTCTGCGCTGGCTGCTGAGGACAATCCGTAAGGGCTTCGCCCCCTGCCGCCAGCCCCCTCTCTCGGAGAATGGGCCATGGAAGAGCTTTGGCTTCGCCGTGGAGCAGTGTCGGGACCTGTTTGTTTTTCGGCCCTGACCTTACGGATCTGCGTGAGAGGTGCCGCCGAATTTCAGAAATGTGGCAAATCCCCTATGTTTTTAATCCCCGACCCTGCCGATCTGCGTGATGGGTGCCGCCGAATTTCAGAAATGTGGCAAGTCCCATTTGTTTTTGGACCCTGGCCCCGCCTATCTGCGTGAGGGGTGCCACCGAATTTCAGAAATGTGGCAAATCCCATGTGTTTTTGGACCCTGACCCCGCCGATCTGCGTGAGGGGTGCCACCGAATTTCAGAAATGTGGCAAATCCCATGTGGTTTTTGGACCCTGACCCCGCCGATCTGCATGAGGGGTGCCACCGAATTTTAGAAATGTGGCAAATCCCATGTGTTTTTGGACCCTGACGCCGCCGATCTGCGTGAGGGGTGCCACCGAGTTTCAGAACTGTGGCAAATCCCATGTGTTTTTGGACCCTGACCCCGCCGATCTGCGTGAGGGGTGTAAATTTTTACCCACCCCAGCAATTCAGACAGTACGATTTGGGAGTGGTAGAAATGCGTGTTTTGGGCCTCCCCCCTCGCGCGGTCTATCAACAAGGAACAGTAAGCAGCAAGAAGTCAACAAGGAACAGTAAGCAGCAAGAAGCAAAATTGTAACAGTGGAAACTGGAAACTGCAACTGGCACAGGAAACTCGAACCTCTGGCCTACAGCCTGGTGGCCCCGCAAGGGGGCCGGCGGATTTTTGGACTCGAGGGTGTATGGCAGCATCAGCGGCGCCTTCCGGGATTCCTTTTCTTCCTGGAGGACGGCGGAGAGAGGCGGGAGGCGCAAGGCCAAGGTGACGCGCCCGCAGACATGGCTGCTCAGCCCGCCCCCGGGGCGGCCAAGCGGCTCCTCCACCATCAGCCGCTTGCCCACGGCCCGCCTGTTCCCAGGAGCAGTAGGAGGATGGGCGAGGATGACGGTGTTGTGGATGGTGATGATGACGACCATTATATTATTTCGGTGATCATGGTGATGGTGGTGATGATGGTGGTGATGCTGATGATGAGGATAACGAACATGAGGACGATGATGGTCATTGTGGGGGAGAGGCCGAATGCTTGCATTCCATAGCCTTCGGCTCTCGAGCTGGAGCCGCGGCGGGGCCGCGGTGCATGGCCTGGTTCGGCCTCCTGGGGAACTTCCTGAATTCGCTGGACCGCTGGGGGGTTCCCGTGCTGCAGGCCTGGGTCCTGCGCTGCCCAGCGACCCACGTCCCTGCCTGCCCTGCGTGCCCGGCGTGCTCGCCGTGCCCAGGGGTGACGGTGGGGGCTGCCGCGGGGACGGTGACCTTGGCGTGCGCGGGCGCGGCGCTGGCGGGAGTCTCCATCGGTGTGCTGGGCGTCATCGCCGTGCTGCGCGTGTTCGGCCCGCTCTGCTTCGCCACCGGCGCGAGGGCCTCGCCTCACATTCACGTCGCCTTGCCCGCTGCACCTGCCGCTCCGTCCAGTCGTGCTGCTCATCTCGCTCTCAGCCCCAATTGCGTACGGATACATCCGCCAGGGCATTCAGGAACGAATCGTGAGTGCTGCGGGCCCCTTGGGGAACATGCAGAACATCGTGCTCTTCGGAGGGCGCGAGCGCCAGGCACCCGAGCGCGGACGCGGTACCACGCCCAACAGGCCAGCACAAGGTTGCCACAGACCAGGTCAGACGGGCAGCGCCTCTCGTCCCCATGAGCGGTGGGCTTCCCATTGGGGCGGCCCGCTGCATGGGCCGCTGGTCGCTGGCGGAGCCGCTCCCCCTGCGGCGGGCGCCGTGGTCGCCGTTGGTGCCCCCCCGCCTGGACCCGGCGCGGCCGCCGTGGTGGCCCCCTTTGCGTGGACCAGGGTAGTCTGGCAACGCCAGTGCAGCAGGGGTGTTGCACTGCTCGGGTGCGCCTCCCTCCTTCCCCCCCTCCCGCCTCGGTTGCCCTGCAGCCTCCGCCCCTCGTCACCAGCCGGGCCCCCCCGCCCCTGGCGCCGCGTCGTCCTGACGCGCGGGCCCGTTTCCGGGCACCCGCACTGGTCTTGCGGCCTCAGTTTTGCCGTCCCGCAGCGTAGCCGCCACTCAGGCACCGCAGGGGCGCCGCAGCCGTGGGCGCTCCCCCGAGGCGCCGCCGGCGCTGGTCTGCTTGCTAGTGCCGCCCCGCCCGCCGGGGGTCACCCGCGGGCGGGGCGCTCCTCTTTCCTCCCCTCCCCCCCTGTTCCCCCTCGCCTGTTTCCCTCCCTCCTCGCGCGCCGCCATGGTGCCGCTTCGCTGTCGCTCCAAGCGTGCAGCTCAGCTCCACCCCCAGTGCCGCGTGCCGCCCCGCTGCGAACGCTGCGCTTGGGCGCAACTTCACACAGTCGGTGCACCTGGTGGACACAACATTTTGCTGTTGGTAATCCTTTGGTTCCTGTGCTGCTTCAACCACTTGCTCGACATCGCCACTGGGCCTGGCAGCGCCAGTGGGTGCGCCTTCGCTTCGGCCCAGCAGTCGCCACGGTCACCGCTGCCACGGCCGGCATCTCCAGCCCGCTCAATGCGGAACTCTTCCACGTCTGAGCGCTCTTTCCTCCCCCTCCCCCTGCGCGGCCGCCCTCGTTCCTGTCCTTATCTTGCATGCCGGCCAATGAGCCGTTCGGTTGCCCCGACTTGCCACGCGCTGGAGCGGACTGCCTCTGCTTCGCCGCCGACGGAAAAAAGTGAAAGGCCTCTCGGGGGTCTTCTTTGGGTCGTCTTCGGGCGTCTTGGGGCTGTCATATGACACTTGGCGTTCGAGTGGGGCCGTCTGGCCGTCTCGCCGCCTTCTTACCGCTGTGGGTGCCTTGTCTTGGCCCGGCAGGAGCGTCCAGCAGGCACAGAATGCCGATGGACACCCTCTGCAAGACCGTTCAGGGTGTCTCCAGGACTACGGATCAAGGGTCGGTTTGGGTACTTTTTAGAGTTTCGGGGTAGTAAGCATACGTAGTATACACACACGTATGTATTTCTGTATGTATGTATGCATGCATGCATGCACGCATTCATGTATTTATGCACGCATGTATGTTTGTATGTTTGTATGTTTGTATGTTTGTATGTACCGATGTTCGCATGTATGTATGCACGTATATATGTGTGCAGGTACGTTTGTATATTTGTGTATACACATATACGTTTGTTTACAAGAACAGATACACATAATTACATGATATATAACATGTTTGTCAGCGTGGACTTGAGACAGAGAGTTGTTTTCATTGCGGACGCGTGAGCTGTGTGGTGCAACCTCTGTGGTGTAAGCTATTCGGTGGAACATTTGTGGTGCAAGCTACTTGGTGTAACCTAAGCAATACGCGCTGTGTGGTGCAAGCTGTGTGGTGTACGCTATGTGGCGCAAGCAATGTGGTGTAAACTATCTTGTGCAAACAATGTGATGTAAGCTATGCGGTCAAAGCAGGCTATGCGGTGCACGATTTGTGGTGTAAGCTGTGTGATGTAAGACTGCAAGCTTTGCTTTGTAATCTATGTGGTGCAAGCTATATGGTGCAAGCTATGCGCTGCAATCGGCGAGGTGTAAGTTTTGTGGTGTAAGGTATGCTGGCGCAAGCTACGTGATGCAAGTTTTGTGATGTAAGCTATGTGGGGCAAACTATGCGCTGCAACCTCTGTGGTGCAAGTCATGTGGTAAGAGCTATGCGGTAAACTCAACGAGGTGTAACGTCTGTGGGGCAAGCTATGTGGTGTTCTCCATTTCCTGTTCCTGTCCATCTCTATGGAGAGGGAAATCGATCACGCCTCCTAGTACGAGAAGACGGAATCTACGGGACACTGGAGCATATGTGTGAGTGTGCGGGCGTAGGGACACACATGGGACATATGGCAACACCCCATGTGAGGAAACTATCGTATACGAGATAAGCTTCCTCCCTTGCCCATAAAAGAGGATTCAATACCCCAATTGGCCGCGAAACGAATCAGCACGGACATTTGTCACGTACATGAAGTTGCCATCAATCGTAACAGCAACACACAGTGACACAGCAGGTACTCCTTATGTCGTGTGTGTATATAGAAACGCATTTTTCCTTATGTGCAGTTCTTGCACTTCCACTTGCATATGTAGTGCACACGATCACCAAGCAGCGTTTAAGTTCAAGTGTCTATGAAAGCTCCTTGATTGCTTTCGCTCTCTTACTCAATCCTGTCCTCCTCACCCTCCTGCTTTTCCCTCCCCCGCATTGTGAATCCCAGACCCCTCGCTTCTCGCTCGAGCGAGCGAGCAACCGAACGATTGAGCGAGTGAGCGACCGACCGAGCGACCGAGTGAGCGAGGGAGCGAGTGACCGAGCGAGCGAGCGACCGAGTAAGCGAGCGAGCGAGCGAAAACCATGCATTTAATGTCCCGCCCGCTCTGACCGACCCGCCCGCTTGCTCGCTCGAACGAGCGAGCGAGCGGGCCAGCGAGCGAAAGGTCGGCTCGCGCGCTCGCCTGCACGCTCCCCCCCCCGCGCCCGCCCTCTCGCCCTCTCGCCCTCTCGCCCTCTCGCCCTCTCGCTCGCTCGAGCGAGGGAGCGCGAGCGAGAGGTCGGCTTGCTCGCCTACTCGCTCCCATTCCCCCGTCCCTCGCTCGCTCCCCTACTTCGTCGCCCTCCCTGGCTCGCTCCCCCCTCTGCTCGCCCTCTCGCTCGCTCGCTTGAGCGAAAGAGCTAGCGAGCGAGCCGAGAGGCTCGCTCGCTCGCTCGCTCTCCCGACCCCCATCGTTCGCCCCCTCGCTAGCTCGCGAGCGAGCGAGAGCCGACCCCCACCCCCTCCCCTCTTCCTCGCTCGCCCCCTCGCTCGCTTGAGCGAGCGAGCGAGAACCTCGGCGTAATTACTCCTCCTCCTCTACCTGCTTTCTGCATGGACACGCGCAACACATGACAACAGGGGGTCAACAATACATCCTTGCAGTGGAAGAAATACTCGTTGTACGCTGTCTGCGTCGTGGCAGCAGATGCGTCCTCATATCAAAAGGGGAGGACAAGGATGAAGAGGAGGGGAAGGAGGAGGACGAGGCGGAGGAGAAGGAAGAGGAGGCGAGCAGGAGGAAGAAGAGGAATAGGATGAGGGGGAGGAACAAGTACAGGAGGATGAGGTGGAGGAGGTGCTACACTGCTTCAGGCGGGCACGTGGCTGCCCGCAGCCAGTTTATTCTGCTGGGCCCCGCGGCGCTGCATTGCCGCCCGTGCCCGCGGCCTACGTCCGGTGGAAGACCCCCCTGGGTGATCTCCTCCTCGCTCTCTCCTGTGTATGGGCGGTTGAAAATCGGTGTCGTCGTTGACGGGTCGAATGATTGACCTCTCGCCTCCGGCGGGATCGGGTGGAGGGCCCGCGGGAGAAAAGCAAAACGCCCGAAGAACGTTGGCACCCTGAGTTCCTGAGTCGGCCAGTTCAGCCCAGGTGAGAATTTCTCCCCTGGGGATCCAAGGGCGAACCCAGCTGCTACCGTCACCGATGCAGTCTGCTTATATTTTTCCCAACCATCCTGTGGTGTTGGGTCCTCGTTTTGAAAGACAGCGCCCCGCGTCTCCTCCTTCCTCCTCCCCCTCCTCCCTCTTCCCACTCCTCTCCCTCCTCCCTCCTCCATCATCACCATCATCCCTTCAACCCATCATCCTCATCCATGCGTCCCCCCATCGATTTCGGCACACCCCGCACACGTTTCGTGGCCCCAGCGGGAGCTCCGCCGATGGCCCCAGTGGCAGAGTTCGCATGGCACCGGCGCCTCCATTTCGGCACACTCCTCACTCGGTTCGTGGCCCCGTAGGGGGATCCCCTGAGGACCCCAGTGGCAGGGTTCGCATGCTACCGCCGCCCCCATTTCGGCGCACCCCTCACACGCTTCGGGGCCTTATAGGGAGCTCCGACGACGGCCCCACCGTCAGGGTTCGCATGGCACCGCTGCCTCCATTTAGGCAGACCCCTCGCACGGTTCGTGGCCCCATAGGGAGCTTTGCCGAAGGCCCCAGTGGCAGGGTTCGCATGGCACCGCCGCCTCCATGTCGACGCACCCCTCACACGCTTCGTGGCCTCAGGGGGAGCTCCGCCGAAGACCCCAGTTGCAGGGTTTGCATGGCACCGCCGCCTCCATCTCGGCACACCCCTCACACGTTTCGTGGCCGCATAGGGAGCTCCGCCGAAGGCCCCAGTGGCAGGGTTAGCATGGCACGTCGCCTCCATTTCGGCACACCCCTCACACGCTTCGTGGCCGCATAGCGGCAGGGTTCGCATGGAACCGCCGCCTCCATTTAGGAACACCCCTCATACGCTTCGTGGCCCCATAGGGAGCTCCGCCGAAGGCCCCAGTGGCAGGGTTCGCATGGCACCGCCGCCTCCATTTCGGCACACCCTCACACGCTTCGTGGCCCCATAGGGACTTCCGCCGCCCCATTGGCAGGGTTTGCATGGCATCACCGCCCCCATGTGGGCACAGTCCTCACACGTTTCGTGACCCCATAGGGAGCTCTGCCGAAGGACCCAGTGGCAGGGTTCGCATGGCACCGCCGCCTCCATGTCGACGCACCCCTCGCACGGTTCGTGGCCTCATGGGGAGCTCCGCCGAAGGCCCCAGTGGCAGGGTTTGCATGGCTCCGCCGCCTCCATGTCGGCACACCCCTCACACGTTTCGTGGTCTCACAGGGAGCTCCGCCCAAGGCCCGAATGGCAGGGTTCACATGGCACCGCCGCCTCCATTTCGGTGCACCACTCACAAGGTTCGTGGCCCCATAGCGAGCTCCGCCGAAGGCCCCAGTGGCAGGGTTCGCATGGCATCACCGCCTCCATTTCGGCACATCCCTCACACGTTTCGTGGCCCCATAGGGAGCTCCGCCGAAGGCCCCAGTTGCAGGGTTCGCACGGCACCACCGCCCCCATTTCGGCACATTCCTCACACTTTTCGTGGCCCCATAGGGAGCTCTGCCGAGGGCGATACTCACAACGGTGGTATTCACAACTGCATACGGTTGGGTCCTTCGCCAGGATAATTTCCTTTGTTCGGAACGCAAGCTTATAGCGCACGGCGAGATCCAGCGCATGAGGCAGCCAGAGCTCGGCGAGAGTGCCGAGGCAGCGGCATTGGCGCCGTGATTCGTCCCTTGTGTGGTGCCGAGCACACTGCCTGGAAGCTGCGGGACCGATCAGGTCGCAGATCCATCCATCGATCGGGATCGCGGGAGGCAGAAGGGATGCCCTTGCCCTCTTCTTGCACAGTCAGTGCTGCTCTCCCTTTTCTTCGCTGACATCGTGCTGCCGTTTAATCGCTTCCCCCCGTATCGGAGGTTGGGGGGTGAGATCGAAGTGGAACGGAGAGCCCCCCACCGGGAAATCGGTTTCGGTTTCGTGTTCGTGCGTGCCGTGCGTGCGGGCGAGGCGAAGCTGCGTGGGCGGGCGAGAGGAAAGTCTCCTGTGGCTGAGGCGCGGCCGGACCAAATGATTCCTCCCCCCCGGCAAACGGGGCCGCGCGGTGTCCCGCCGGTGTCCCGCCGGTGTCCCGCTGGTGTCCTGGTAAGTCTCCTGTGGCTGAGGCGCGGCCGGACCAAATGGTTCCCGACCGGTAGACGGGGCCGCGCGGTGTCCCGCCGGTGTCCCGCCGGTGTCCCGCTGGTGTCCCGGTGTTCTGCTGGTGCGAAAACGATAGTGAGACCGATAGTGAGATCGATTGTGAGATCGATTGTGAAATCGACAGTGAGATGGATAGTGAGATCGATCGAGTGAGATCGATGGTGAGATCGATTGCGGGATCGATCGTGAGAGCGATAGTGGGATCTATGGTGAGATCGATTGAGCAAGATTGATAGTGAGATCGATCGAGTTAGATCGATCGAGAGATCGATCGTGAGATCGATAGTGAGATCGATGGAGTGATATCGATAGTGTGATCGATAGTGAGATCGATGGATTGAGATCGATAGTGAGATCGATAGTGGGATCGAAAACGAGATCGAGAGTGAGATCGACAGTGTAATCGATCGAGTGAGACCGATATTTAGATCGATCGAGTGAGATCGATAGTAAGGTCGATAGTGAGATCGATCGTGGGATCGATAGTGAGACCGATAGTGAGATGCAAATCGAAATGAAGATCGAAATGCAGATCGAAACACAAATCGACATGCACATGGATAAGCAAATGCAAATGCAAATCGTCAGGCACACCGACATCCCGTGCTGTATGCTGCGCCAAGAGCGAGTGGCAACGCAACAATCTCTGAACACCAAGGCTCCCAGTACGAACGTTGGCGGAAAAGGCTCTTAAGGGTCGCTGCAAGAAGCTCCCGGGAGGCCCCAAGAGGCCCCCAAGAAGCCCAAAATGTCTTCCAAGAGACCCCCAAAAGGCTCCCCAAGAGGCTCCCAAGAGCCCCCCAAGAGGTCCAAAAGATGCGCCCAAACGGCCCCCCAAGCCCTTGCAAAATGGACGAAATAGTATATTATTTCGTTGGTTCCCGGGGGGGGGGGGGGACTGGCACCAAGGCGCCCAAGAGCGAAGGGTGAAGGGTGACGTAAACAACTCGACACCAAGGCTCCCAAGAGCGAGCGGCAACGCAACAATCTCCACTGGCATCGTCAGAACGACAATCACCACTGTTGCCCATTGCTGGCCCCCTCCCCCCCCCCAAACCTCCTTATCACCCTCAGGGTGGTCGTATAGGTATAGATTTTGGAGAAAGGAGTTCAATATCTCCCTTGATATTATTCCCCGTTGTGCTCGTTCTGGGTCCTTCGAAAAGACGCTCCCGCTGAAGTGTTGGCCACATTGGAGGATCGGTCTGTTGTTGTTGTTGTTGTTGTTGTTGTTGTTGTTGTTGTTGTTGTTGTTGTTGTACTTCAGAAGTGCGCTTCCGCCGTAGTGCGGGCCACGTATTGTTTTTGGATCTGATTCCCGCGTCGTCGTTGCCGCCCCCCCTTTTTCCCCCCCTCCCGCTGCTGCTGCTGCTTTTCCTTCTTCTTCTTCGTCAATGTGCAAAAGGCCGACCTTGCCGATTGTACATCAAACGACGGGCCAAGTCTTACAGCTGTCAGTTGGGGGTCAAGAACTTCCTGTTCGTCCCAGTCGATGGGTCGGCGAGACATGAAAGCAACAGACGAGATGGGTGGGGGTGGGGGTGGGTGGGATGTCAAATCTGGTGCGAGCGCACGTGGCTTGTCTTCCCTACAGTTCATGTGAACCAGCGTGGGCTCCAAGCAGTGTGTTTCTTGCAATCGATGTGGTGCTATCCATGTAGAGCAGTTCACCCTGACGAGCTTGAAGTTGTCAACTCCACTGCTCGTGCCAACACCCCACCCACCCAACCGCAACTTTGTTTACAAAACCCATGCGACGGCGATTGCGATGAGTGCTTGGCGTTGGCTGGTGCATCTTTGCGGCCGCGCTAACCCGCGCATGCTCGCGCGCGCAGCGGCCAACTAATTCGGCGCGGCCGACGCGGCCGCGGTGGCGGTGACCGCTAGGCACTTCCAGCGGGCACTTTGGCGGTCGCGGTATCATGGCGACGCAGACAATTGTAAACACGGTGATGGGAGTAGCGATGCAAGTGATGATGGTGGCGATGACGACGGCCAGGCCAATGACGGCGCCGATGCTGATCACGCCTGCCGATCATGATGACGTTGTCCTCGCGTTTGTGATCAAGGATTCCGGAAGGAGTTCGGCATGCGCGCGCGGCCGACGCGCGCGAGTTGCCAGCGTGGTATTTGTTGACGCGGATCGCCCCCACCCCAGCACGCGCACAATGACGTTCGAGTGAGTTCGACACGCGGCGCGAGAGGCCCGTTCGGCAGAATTTGATGGTAATGCTGAAGGGCTGAGGGTTTTCTAGAATCCACAGGGCCGCGAGCGCATTTTTTCCCTCCAGGGCTGATGTTGCAAGCACATTTTCTGTTAGTGTGTATGTATGTATGTATATATATATATATACAGACATAACACATGTTTTCGGGATACTCGTTTTTGGCATCTCAGCGAATTTCTTTGGGATGAGAGCAACAAAGTGGTATGGGGGCGCGACAGCGCGCGCGTGTGCACGACAATCCATGTTTCCAAAGGGGTTCATGCGACAACACGCGCGCAATGGCGTTCGAAGGGTTCCGACATGCGCGCGCGAGAAGCCCGCTTGGTAGCACTTCGTGACAATGTTGATCAATCTATGGTTCCCCCCAAGAATTTGCAAGAGCGCGGGGCGTTTTTTTTTGACAGCCTTTGTTGCCATGTGTTTTGCCTATATGTTTTTTTCCCGAGCGCTCGACCTTCAATCTCTTATGGCACCTGGGGTTTTGGAAAGGTTCTGGCATGCGCGCGCGACGGCGCGCGCGCGCGTGTGCGCGTCGTCCCGTTTTTTGCAAGTGATTTTTGAAAACTGGTGATTTTCGATGAACGAGTGCGCGCGCATATTTTTTTGCACAAGCTGAGGGGGGAACCGATAGGAATGATTTCGTGGTTCGGATGGACGAGGGGGCAGATGCATAGGTAATTTGCCATGCGAGTGAGCGGTTACGAATATCCTTCGAGAAGTCAGAATCTATGCTGTGCAATTGGCTTTACAAACTAGTTGACACATCCATGCTCTTGCAAACATCCCACCCACCCACCCGCAATTCGGTTTGCAAAATCCATGCGACGGCGATTGCGATGAGTGCTTGGCGTTGGCTGGTGCATCTCTGCGGCCGCGCCAACCCAACCTCGCGCGCGCAGCGACCAGCTAGTTCGGCGCCTCATTGCGAGTCGGCGAGTTGGGCGGCCGCGGTATCATGGCAACGCCGACGACGGTAGATACGATGATGATCGTAGCGATGCTGGTGACGATGTTGACAACTACGACGGCGTGGCCAGTGACGGCGCCAATGCTGACCACGCCCGATGCTGATCACGCCGTTGTGATGAAGTTTCTTGGACAAAGTACGCCATGCGCGCGCGGCCGATGCGCGAGAGTGGCCCGCATGATGTTATGTGGCACGGATCGTGCTCCCCCCCCAGCACGCGCGCAAGGGCGTGCGAATGATGTCGGCATGCGGCGGGAAAAAGGCCAGGTTGACAGAATGCCATGCGAATGTTGAAAAAACTTATGGTTGCTTACGGATTTGCCAGAGCGCGAGCGCAAACTTTGTTGAGAATTGCCTTGCGAAACCAAGTGTTTGTATAAGTTGTGTTGGACACTTGGTTTTGAAATCGCTACGAAACCTGAGGTGTTTGACGGATTTCTACATGCGCGCGCGACGGCGCGCGCGCGCGTGTACTTCGTCCCGTTTGTTGCAAAAAAGGTTCTCGCGACAGCACGCGTGCAAAGGGCGTTCGAACGATTTCGACATGCGCGCGCGAAGCCCTTTTTGTAGCATGTTAAGGAGTCCTCAAGAATTCGCAGAAGAGCGCGTATTATATACATATTGTTTATATGCTATGGTATATATATAGTCATTTTGGAAAACATGTTGAAGAACCATTTTTTCGAAAAGCATAATGTTTTATGTTGCAAGCGTTACGAATACATAGGTATTGAAACGGTTCCGTTTGGCGCGCGCGGCGGACGCGCGCATGTGGCCCGCATGGTATTCTTTGATACGCATTCGCACCACAATCTCCTCTGATATCAGCGCATGTTCACCGCATGGTATCATTTGACAGGGATAAAAAAGGGGGGCGGATACCCGCTCGCATGGGATGGTCGGAATTTTCAAAAAATGAGCAAAGAGGCGGAATCACATGTAACATACAAGACGCGAGGCCGAGTTGATAATCTTTTTTGGGGGGTGGGGGTAAACGTTAAATTCTTTTAAGAGAGGGGAATCTATGTGGTGCAATGCAACGGTGGCGATGGGTGGCGACCAGGCGGCGACGGCGACAACATAGTCGCCAGACCGCCACGCTGGCCCAGACGACGGGCGGCGACGATTCGGCGGTGGGGCGGCGACGGCGACAACACAGCTGCCAGACCGCCACACCGGCCCAGACGACGGGAGGCGACCAGGCGGCGACGGGGCGGCGACGACGACACGATAGCCGCCAGACCGCCCCGCCAGCCCAATTTTGTAGAACAGACATGAGAAGCCCTAAGTGTAAGCATTGTTTTGGGAACTACGAGTGCTGTTTTCCCTTTCCTCTCCCCTGTAGGCGACCCGAGAGTCGCGCGCCGCTTTCGCGTATTGTTGCTTACACACAGGATGGGCATCTTTTTGTTGTTGTTTCTTCTGATTGTGTTTTCCAATCCTAAGTTCTCGGTCCTTCCGACATGGTGCTCTCGCTGCAGCGTCGGCATCACTTTTAGTCCCGTGGCTTTGCTCCCGTCATTACGAATGGCGCTCTCGCCCCAGCGCGCGCTATTTTTCTGGAGCCGAGTCATTCCTCATTGTTGTCGCCCCCCTCCTCTCCCTTCCTCCGCCTTCCTCTGGTCCTCTTGCTCCTCCCGTTCCTTCCACTTCAATTCCTGCTCTACTGCTGCTCTTCGTCCTCTTCCTCCTCCTTCCTCCTCCTCCTCCTCCTCCTCCTTCCTAATCCTCCTTCTGTTTTTCCCTTGCTTATCCTCCTGCTCATCCGCCACTTCGCCACTTCCTCATGTGTACAGCTCCCCTTTTCCGATTGCGCACGACACGATGGGGTCTTGTTTGGAAGTTCCAGATCCGCTTTGACACGCGTCCGCGGATAGAGAAAACATCAACGCAATGGGAAGGGATGGGTGGGAGGGGTAGGATGTCAGATATGGCGCGAGCCCACCTAGCTTGCCCTCCACCATCTCCCGCTCCCACTCCCCCTCCCCCTCTCTCCCTCTGTCCCTCTTTCTCCCTCAGCCGCCCCCACCCCCCCCCATCCCTCCTCCCCCTGCTCCCCGCCCCCACCCCTCGCCTGTCTGCTTCGCCTCCCCGGCGGCGCCGCTTCCGAGCCTCTGGCTTTAGGCCCCGCTGCGCGGAGCGGCGGCCGACAGCCCCTCCGCTCCGTGGCGGTGCTCGCGGCACCGCTAGTGCCCGCCGGGGCGCTGCTTGCGGGCTGGCGGCGCCTTCGCGTGCGGCCGCGGCCGAGGCCTCTTTGTCCCGGGAGGGGGGAGGGAGGAATCGAGGGAGGGATGGCGGAGGAGGGAGGAAGGGAGGAATCGAGGGAGGGAGAAGTGGGAGGTACGGAGAAAGGAAGAGGGAGGAACAGCAGAGGGGAGGAGAAGGATGAGGATGACGATGATGATGCTGCTGATGATGATGATGCTGATGATGATGATGATGATGACGACGACGACGACGACGACGACGACGACGACGACGATGATGATGATGATGATGATGATGATGATGATGATGATGATGATGATGATGATGATGATGATGATGATGATGATGATGATGATGATGATGATGACGATGATACCGCGACTTGTCGGCATTTGTGGTGCATGTGTGGCCGTATCCCCGTGCTCAAGTTCTTGAGGGAATGCAGGCCCTGTTCGAACGCCTCTCGCAGGATTTCGCCAGTGCCCTCACCACTGTCATCATCGTCCGCGGGAGTTCGGTCCCGTGCCCCGATTGCGATTGTGTGTGTTCTCCCGCGCTCCACTGCCCTGCGCTGGAGTGCCGCTGTCCCAGCGGCGAGGGCTTGCTCGCTGCGAGCGCGCCCACTGGCTGGTCGACGGGCTTCGTGACGGGCGCGGTGATCGTCTCGCTAGGCCTCGGCGCGCTGGGCGGCGGCCGCGTGGCAGCCAATGTGCGGCGCTCGGGGCCTGCGGGCGGACCGCCAGGCCTTCTGCGCCTCAAGGGGCCCGAGCCCGCCCTCGACCTGGCGTCGGCAGCCGCTGCTCAGGCTCGCAGCTTTCGCCGTAGCTAAACAGAATGGCGGGGCCCGTGTCGGGTCAGTTCCACCTCGTGCGATACAACATCGGCGGTCCTGCCATCTACCACGAGCGGCTGACGCTGCTGCCTGGCTACATTCTCGCGCCCGACGGCGACCACTACGCCGAGGGCAGCGTGGCGAGTCGCGACATCCGATCCGTGCGCATTCTAAGTGGCCAAGGTGAGGGCTTGCCTGGAGTTCCAGCCAACCACCTGTACCAGTTTCGGCAGCTTCCTCCAGCAGCTGATGTGGGCCGCGCTGCGGCGCGCGTCAGCTCAAGGGTTTGGACTCCTGCCAGCCTCCCCGTTCTGCATCGACCTCAGCGGCACGAGCGTTCTGGGGCTTGCTGCGGGGCCGCTCGCGCTGCCCGATCCGCTCGCGCTTGTGGCGGCCGCTGCGGTGCCCGCCCCAGTCGGCGGCGCGCCGCCGCCTGCGGCGGGCGCCCTGCTGGCTGCGGCGGCCCCCGCACCGCTGCCTGCGCTGGCGGCGCCGCCCGCTGCAGGAACACCTCTTGGCGGCGGCGGCCTTGGCGCGCTGGCGGCGGCGCCCGGTTGCGGCGCGCCCGCGCCCGCGCCCGCGGCGGCTGTCGCAGTCCCCCCGGGCGCTGGCGGCGGCGCCGCCCCTCCCGTGGCGGCGGCAGCTGGTGGCGATCCCCGCGTGTTGGCCCTCGTCCTCGCCGGCCGCGGCTTTCGCGACATCGGCCTCAGCGACGCGGTGAAGCTCCAGACGGAGACGATGCGCGCCGACTGGCCCGTGAAGGGCCCGAGGGCGCTGCTCTGGGTCCTCGGCTTCATGCAGCGCGTGGCGGGCGGTGCCATGGCCTGGCGCAACCGCTGGCTAGCGATGATGCCGCTCAGCGAGTACGACGAGAACGTGAAGCTGCACGAGACGCTCTGCCGCGTCATAGAGACCGCCCTCTGCCACGACCAGATGGTGACCTGCGAGCTCGCCTCGTATGAGTACCTCGCCCGCCAGCTCTAACTCGCGGAGGAGCGCGCGTTCGAGGAGCGGTCGAGGAGGTCGCAGCCTGCGGCCAAGGCGAAGGAGGCGCCCCCCCGGCCGACCTCGCGCCCGGGGTGGGCCACTTCCTCGGCGCAGGCGAGACGAAGGGGAACCTGTGCATTAGCCCCGCGCTGATGGATTGGATCGCTGATCAGATGAAAATGGAAACCGCTGTGGCGAAAGAACGACGCAAGGCTCGTGAGGAACGAGCCTTGCGGGCGCCATGGCGCTCCCTCAGGACGCTGGCCAGGGTGGGCCTCGCGAGTTTGCTTTCGATCATCGTGGGCCTGGTCAGCTTGGCCCAGAGGCGTTCGCGCCCCCGCCTGGCCTCGCGGCGCCCAGACGCGGTGCCCATCGCCAGCGCGACGCTTTTCCTCTGCCTCTTCTTCCTTTGGATGGGCGCCGCCATCTGCCCCTTGGTCGAGCGGCCCGTCTTCGAGCTGCCAGAGGCGCGGGCTGGCGAGAGTGGTGCAACGAGGGGTTGTCCGCTCTCAACTGGCCCCATTGCGGCAAGGACGAGCACTTCGCGACCCAGGGCGGCGTTGCGGCGCCCGCCGTGCAGGCAGCCTCGGTGGATCATCTTGCGGGCCTCAACCGCGAATTCGAGCTGCCTGTCGCCTACTCGGAGAGGAGCAGCGCCTGCGAAGCATCCCTGGTGGAGGTGCTCGCTCAGGCACCTGGCTGCGCTGGTAGCGGTGGTCGGGTGCGGGCCTACAGCCCGCCGCTCGTGGCCTGGCCCCAGTCGGCGAAAGCCGCCCCCACCTGCGACGTCGTCTCGGAGGCCGATTCCATCGCGCTGCAGGGTTGGAGGCAGAGTGTGCTGAACCCCGAGCCGGTTGCAGCGGAGCTGCGGGGCGCGCTGGGCATTGACCGCCCTTGCGTGGGCCCCGAGTCGCGCTTCCAGCCAAGGTCCTGCGTTCAGTTTTTGAAGCAGCTGGATGCCCACGACATGGTCACGTGGCGGGCCGCCAGCCCCTTGTCTTCGCATTCATTCGGTTTGTTCTTTGTGGAGAAATCCAATCGCATGCCCAGGCTCGCGTTCGACACTCGGCTGGCCAACTGCTGTTTCGCGGCGCCCCCAGCCGCCAAGCTCCCCGCGCCCAGCGCGTGGGCCAGTGTCGACTGCGACGGCAGTTTCGTGTTTTGCTCAGGGAGACATCCAGCGTGCCTTCTATCACTTACGCTTGCCTGCAGGGATGGAGTCATTCTCGCTGCCTGCGATCTCCAACAGACACATCGGGGTCAAATCTATCAACGGGGCCCCCATGGGTATCAGCGATTTCGTACAACCTCTGGTCGCAGTTGTTCCTGTGGGGCGGAGTTGGGCGTTGCACTTCTGTCAGAGCGCCCTCGTCAGAGCTTTATCCGATGTTGGTTTCGAGAGCAGCGACATGATTGTTGATGGGGGCAGCCCGCGTCCGTTGGTCGATCACAATGATGTCAGATGTGCAGGATGTGTTGACAACTCCTGTGCCGTCTCAAGAAATCCAGAGATTGCCACCTCTCGGGTTCGTGCCGTTGCCGACCTTCTCACCTCTAGGGGTCTTCTTGTGTTGGGGTTCTCGGAGGCCGTCTGCAAGGGGGTCTTCACGGGGCTGCCGATCGACGGGCTGTCTGGCATCGTCCGTGTTCGTCCCGATCGTCTCGCCCGAACTCGCCAAGCCGTTCTGGGTCTCTTGCGACGCGGGCGGGCCTCCGCGGGGGCCCTCAGCGTGCTGGTAGGCCACTGTGCTTGGGATGATCTTGAGACGGGGCGTCCTGGCCATCTTTCAACTCGGTCTAACGGTGCATCAACGTGGTCGGGGATCAGCCGGCGCCTCTGTGGGAGTCTGTGGTCAGGGAGCTGCGGGCCGCGGTGGCTGGAGTGCCTCTACCAGGTCCAGGTGGTCTTCGCGGATCTACGCTGCTGATGCGTCGCCGTGTGGGAAGGGGGTGTGCATCGAGGACGTCCCCCCCCGGACATGGTCTCAGTGGTCGGCCGCGTCACCGAGAAGTGGAGGTACCGCCAGGGCTCCAGAGTGCTCGCGAGGTCCCATGCCTTCGAGACCGTCGGCTCAGATCGCGATGTCGCCAATCGTTGCCCGCCTGCTGATGCATGCCGAGTCCGCCCTAGCAGCCCTGCGCAGGCCTGTCAGAGCTTCCTGGAGGTTCCTGAGGCCGTCTTCGGGGTCGACGGCTGGAAGGTCATCCATCCGAGCAGGCGCTCTCGTTCAGGTTGCGACATATTGCAGTCTGAGGCCGAGGCCCTGGGGTTCAGTGGCGCGGTGTCCACCGCGCCTCCAGGACTCTAGGAGCCCACCATCATCGTGTCGTTTGTCTCGTCGGCAACTTGGCTCTAGCCCTCTCCGTCGGCAAGGGGCGTTCGGGCAGCCCGCGCCTCGTGCGCGCTCTGAGGCGCCTCTCTGGCATCGCCCTCGCATGTGGCTTGTGCGCGCTGGTGCACTGGGTCCCCTCTGAACGGAATGTCGCCGACGAGCCGTCGAGAGAGGGCTTCTTCGTCGGCCCGAGCTACGAGGACCACCCCATCGGAGCAGGTGTCGCGGCGACCGCGGCAGCCCAAGGGGGGTGGCCAAGGCCGCGAGGGCTCGGGCGGTCCACCTCGGGCCCTCCAGCCTCTCGCGCGGGAACCTGTCGGTGCTGGGGGCGTCGGCGGTGTCGGCCTCCACGGGCAGGAACTACCGCGCCTGCGCCCAGCAGTTTCTGAGCTGGCGCCTTTGGGCCGCGAGGGACTTCGAGGCCAGCGCCGAGCTCGACGCCGTCCTGGTCGTGTACTTCGTCCACCTGTTCCTGGGCGGCTACGACTGCGCGACGGGCCGCGCCACGCTGGCCGCGCTGAAGCACCGCCTGCCTTCCCTGCTGGTCGGGGGCAGGCCGCTGCCGCGGGCCTGTCGGGCGTTTCAGGGCTGGGCGAAGCTCGTCCTGCCTCAGATTCGTGTGCCGCTCCCGCGCCCGGCCATGTTTGCGATGCTGGGTGCCCTCCTGGCCCAAGGCCGCCTCGCGGAGGCGACCTTCGTGAGGCTCGCGTTCGACGCCTACTTCCGCCCGAGCGAGGCCTGCCGCCTCGCCGCCGCCTCGCTGATCGCTCCGCGGCTCTGGCCGAAGGGGGGCTACCAGCACTGGGCCATCCTGGTGAACGACGCCGCGAGCGGGAGGCCTGGCAAGACGGGGGACGCGGACGAGAGCGTGATCGTCGACGACCCCTTGCTGTGGCCGCTGCTCGACTCCCTTCGTCAGGGGCGGCGGCCCGAGGCGAGCCTGTGGAGCTTCTCGCCCGAGCAGGTCCGCCAGGCCTTCAGGGCTGCCCTGGCGATGCTCCAGCTCGACGGCGTGCAGACGTCGCTGTGCTCCCTGCGCCGCGGAGGAGCGTCAGGCGACGTCCTGTCGGGGCGACGGACTCGCAAGGAGGTCAAGGACTGCGGCCACTGGAGAACGGACCAGTGGTTGAACCGATGCGCCAATCGAGCTCGGATGTAGAAGCGCCTGGGGCAGCTCGCGCCAGCTCTAGTGGGGCTCGGGTACAGGGTCGAGGCGAACTTCCTGCAGCTGATGGGCGAGAAGGCGCGGGCGGGCACGTTCTCGCTGCAGCTGCCGCCGCTTCTCCCTGCGTCCGCGCCGCCAGTCGTGAGGTCGGCGCCCGTGCTGACCGACCACTGGAGCTTCGTTTGACAGGGAATTGGCGGCGGGCCCGATCACGCGCGTCTGTCATGCCTTATCATGTGACTTTGTGCACCTGCACGCCGGATCGAGCTCGTCGAGCTTGCGAACATCGTGGGCTTGGAACTGTTGCTATCAACCTTGCTCGCCATCGCTTGGAGGACGCTGGCGACCCACGTCTGCTGGGCGCGTTGCTGGGCTGGGTGCGCTCGTCGGCGGTCCTCGGCCTATGGGCCTCCGTGCCGGCTGCGACCTGGGGGTCAGGAGCGGCCCGCTTGCGCCGACTTGGCGCCCCTCTGGAGGGAACGAGAATCTCTGGGCTTGATAGACGTGCCATCCGTGTTGCTAGCGCTCTCACCGCCGCCACCTTTCGGCTGATCTCTGAATGCATGTGTCGTGGGGTCCCCGTGATTTCTGTGCACCCTGAAGCTAGCCTGATCTGGAGACATCCCCTCCTTTCCCCTCTCCTTTCCTCCTCCTCCTCCTGCTCCCTCGACTCCTGCGTGTTTTCAGGCCGCGTCAGACAGAGAATGTTCTTGGTCGGTTGGGGCGTTCGGGACCTCGACTGCCTCTTGCGTCGTTGCCTCTGCCCCCAAGGCCTGTGTGACCGCGCTGGGCGCCGTCGCTTGGGAGGCCTCGGTCGTCCTGCGCTGGGTGCCGTTGCTCGGGCCTCGACCCGCGGTCTGCCTTTTGTTGTAGCCACCGCAGGCGCGCACATGGTAGTTGCTGCCGCGCGGCAGCTGTCCCGTGCCGCCCGATATAAAATTATTCCGACGGAAGGACCCCGCATGAGAATCCTCTGGGCGAATCTGGAAAAAGCTCACCGTCGTCCTCGTGGTTGGTGAGGCGTCCTGACTGTCTCTTCTGCGTATAGAAGAGACAGTCAGGACAGGCGTGCGAATTCCGAGGGCCCTCCTCGGATTCGAAGTTCACAAATGTGGCCCGGGAATGACGCTCTGGGAACACGACGAACACAAAGTGGCTTGCATTTGGCTCCGGACATCCAGAATGTGGCCCGGGAATGGTGTTCTGGGAACAGGAAGAACACGAAGTGGCCTACAGTTGGCTCCGGTGTTTCAAAATGTGGCCCGGGTATGGTGTTCTGGGAACACGAAGAACACGAAGTGGCTTACAGTTGGCTCCGGGCATGCACAATGTGGCCCGGGAATGGCGTTCTGGCAGCGCGAGAGCCCAAAAGTGACGACAGTTACAGGGTTTGGATGACCCGCTCGGATTGCCAACATGATCTGCGGGCCCCATAGGGGGGGGGCTCCCGCCTGAGACTTCCTCACAATTCACTCACAGACGAGGCTCCCGCCTGAGACTTCCTCGAAATTCAGGCCTGAAGAGCACAAAAGTGACGACAGTTACAGGGTTTGGATGACCCGCTCGGATTGCCAACATGAAGCGCGGGCCCCATAGGGTGGGGTTCCCGCTTGTGACTTCCTCGCAATTCACTCACAGACGAGGCTCCCGCCTGAGACTTCCTCCGTACTCAAGCTTGAGAAGCCCAAAAGTGACGACAGTTACAGGGTTTGGATGACCCGCTCGGATTACCAACATGATCTGCGGGCCCCATAGGGAGGGGGCTCCCGCCTGAGACTTCCTCACAATTCACTCACAGACGAACTCCCGCCTGAGACTTCCTCCAGGTGAGTATGTGAATGAGTGAGCGTGTGACAGAGTGCGAGTGATGATGATGATGATAATGATGATGATGATGATGAGTATGTGAGTGACTGAGCGTGTGAGAGAGCGCGAGTGATGATGCTGATGTTGATGATGAGAGAGTGTGAGTGAGTGTGAGTGTGAGTGAGTGGTGATGATGATGAGTGAGTGAGTGAGTGTGCGAAGGCAGAAGAGGAGAGGGGGTGGGGTGAGTGTTCCTGCGCGGGGTGTGCAGAGAAAACAAGACCCCACTTTGGATGTGGGGAACAAAGTTTTTTTAGTCGATGAAGTTGTTCGACTGTAGCCATGTGTGGAGACTAGCGTGTGGTACCGAGTCTGTGCTTCTCTTGCGGGCTGTGCACTGTCGAGGCTGCCGTCCGCCGTTCTGCGCAAAGATGGAAAATCATGGCCTCGAGTGATCCCGCATGCCGCGACCTGTCGGCATTTGTGGTGCATGTGTGGCCGCATCCCCGTGCTTAAGTTCTTCCCTGGGCCCCTCCGCCCAACTTGAGCAATTTTTTTAACCGTTGCCGAGTCCGTGCTTCTTGCGGGCGTGGCGCTCTCGAGGCTGCCCTCCGCCGTTCCGCGCAAAGATGGGAAAATGTGGCCTTGAGTGATCCCGCGTGAGGATGATGGTGATGATGATGGTGGTGGTGGTGGTGATGATGATGATAATGCTGATGATGATGGTGCTGATGTGCGTAAATCCTTGAGAGCGTACTGGGCCTGCCGCAGGGATACGAGTTGCACCGAAGGGGATCTCGCATCCGCTGTCCGTCCCGTCTCGGCTCTAGCTTCAAAGGCGCGCGTCCTCGCGGGGGCCCCCCATGTTCGAGTGGGCTCTGCAGCGGGGAGGCGAGTGCGCGGCGCAGGGTGTGATCAGTTACCTGGCGCGGTGCCCAGCGGCGCCGCCCTGCCCGCCATGCCCTGGTCTGGCCTGCCAGGCGTGCGGGGCGTGCCAGGCCCCCGTCTGCCCTGGCACCAACTGCCCCGCCTGCCCAGCGTGCCCCGCGCTGGCCTGCCCGGCCCGGGAGGGGCCATCGAGGCGCCGGCATGCCCGGCGTGCCCAGCCGCGGAGGCGGCGGCAGCCCGAGGCGGCGGCGGCTGAGGCTTCCTATGGTTCGTCCTCGGGGCGGCCGTGGGAGCGTCCGGCGCGGTGCTGGTGCTCGGGGGCCTGCAGGCTGCGCGGCTGTGTGCACGGCGTGCGAGGCCAGCGGTCGCCAGGACGTCGACGGCGAGGATCGGGGGACCGATGGCGACGTGCTATGCCGAGGACTACGGCGCAGGGTCCCCCGACGTGGCCGCCGTGCGCTGGGCCGCTGGCTTCCAGGCGCTGCCAGACGGCATCCCGCCGGGCGACGTCTACAGGTTCAGGGCGGAGCCGACGGCGGCGGAGGTGGCGGCCTTCGCGGCGGCGGCGGTGGCGGAGGCAGCCGCGGAGGCGGCGGCGCTGGCGGCGGCCCAGGGCGTTGCGGCGCCGGCGGTGGCCGCCCAGTGCCTGCTGCCGGCCGCGGCGCCCGCGTTGCTGGCGGGGCCGGCGGGAGCTGCCGCGCCGGCTGCGGCCTCTGGCGCGGCCATCCCGCCTGTGGCGGCCGGCGCTCCGCCGCCTGCTGAGCCCCCCGCGCGCGCGCCCCCGCCCGTCGGGCCGCTCCAAGGAGCTGGGGCCGCCGCGGGGGCCGACGGGAGGGTCGCTCGCTGGGTGGCCGCGGAGAGCTACGGCGGGTTCAGGCTGGGCGATGTGGCGCAGCGCGTGGCTGGGCCCACCGCGGTCGGGTCGAAGAAAAGCCACCTCCTCCCCGACGGCTCGGGGCTGTTCGTGACTTTCCTCGGGCCCGACGACGAGTGGTTCTTTGACGGGATCGTGGCGGCCGACGCGCGGGCCCTCCACGTGCGGCGGAACAGGCTCGGGCGCCGGGAGCGGACCTGGGGCGGCATGTGCGCCGCGGTCACGAGGGGGGACTTCGGCAAGGATTGGGCTCTCCCTGGAGTCTGCGCGGCGGCGTGGTGCTTCGAGCGCGTCGACGCTGAGGGCAGCAGCTTGGGCGCCCATCATTCATGATCGGTTCAGGTCCGTCTGTCGGCTGGAGCCGAACGCGTGGGGCGTCGCCGAGCATCTTCATTTGACTGGGGCGGTGAAGGCGGCGTTCCTTGTCGACCAGCTCGACGGGGTCAACTTGGTCTCAATCGAGATGCATCTGCGACGCATGCAGACGATCGAGTTTGCGCACCTCGAGCGCGAGTCCAAGGGCTACAGCGGCCGGCTCAGCCTCGAGGGGCAGCAGGCGTATGCAGGGCTCAGCCACGGGTCAGGCCCCCTCATGATATGTCCAGAGTTGCTCGATGTGGTTTGCGTTGTGCTGATGTCGAGCGGGAAGCGCAGCTCAACAAGGCTCTGCGTGAGGGCCGCGAGGAGCGCGAGGCTGCCCGCGAGAAGGGCAGGGGCTGATAGCGAGCGGCCTGCGCTTGATCGAGGTCGGCCGGCATTGCTTTGAGGGGGCGGTGCTGGCCTCTTTCATTATTTTCCTTTTCTTTTTCCCCCCCTCTTTCCGCCCCTCATCGTGCGGGGCCGGCCCCCGCCAGCGCCTGCGAAGCATTCAATTGCGGGGGCGAGCCCTCCTGTCTTGTGCCTCGAGACGTTTTGCCCTTGCTGCGGCCCGCGGTCGAGAGGGTCCGAGGTGCGCTGGGGGGGTCGCTCCCGTGGTGTTCGGCAGGGGCTTGGGAAGCGTGAGGGTTTCGAGCTAGATTGCGATCGCGCGGCCTGGGACTTGAACTCTTTGTATCTTCGGCAGGGTCGGCCAGCTGTCGGAGCTGGCGCCGATCGTGCAGTTTTTGTTTCCCTCGGCCAGCGACGCTGTCTCGAACGGATTCGTGATCCGGTCGCTGCTCTAGGTCCGCCTCCGCCGGAGGTGTCGCCCGCGGAAGCTCTGGCGAAGCTTCGCGTGGCGAGCTGGTATGACGTTGACTCTGCTGTGCTCGGTTCCCATGATTTCGCCCGTGTCTCGTTGCCCCCTGGCACGCCGGCCCCGGCGCCGCTGGAGACTCTCTGGGGCAAGGGCGGGTATGTGTGTGTGTATATATATATATATATATATTCCAAAGCCGACTGCTACCGTCTAGCGAGGCCGAGCATCGGTTGAAGTGTGCCCAGGTGGTGGTGCCACATAGCGACCCGAAGCCGCGACGTGTCGCGGCCTTGGAGGAATTTGTTCGGGCCCTGCGCAGTCGTGGCATGATCGATTTCAGTTCCTATTGTAAGGAAAGGGTTTGGGTCCTTTTTGTGCGCGAGAAGTCCGGGGCGCTGCGGCTCGTTGTAGACTGTTGAAGAAGTAATTGCCATTTTCAGGACCCCGCCCCTGTCTCTCTCCTCACCGGCGAAGGCCTGGCGGGGCTGGGGCTCGGGGGCGGGGGGGAGTTCTACGTCGGGGGTGCCGATCTTTCGGGCGCCTCTTATCATGTGCAGCTGCCTCCTTCCCTTAGACCCTATTTCGCCCTTATGGCCGCGCGGGCGGGGGCGGGGGCCGTGGGGTGTGAGAGAGCCGACTGACGGAATACGTGTGTTTCCGACAGCGATGGTGTACCCCCGACTGGCAGTGATATTTATGAGTTGGAGTTGGGCTCTGTAGATGTGTCAGACAGTTCATAAGCGTATCGCTGAGGGCGCTGGGGCTTCCCGGGACAACCGCAGTGTAGATGAGCAAGCCGCTCCGGACCTGGCCCGTGCGTGTCACTCCCAGTATGTGGACAACCTCGTTGCCATCTCGACCGATGCTGCTGCCGTCCGCGGTCTTGTCGCCGACGCCAGTCGTGCTCTCGAGGGTCGAGGCCCGGTCGTTCGCGAAGAGGAGTATTTCGGGGAGGACAAAGTGGCTCAGGTGTTGGGGTGGCAAATCGACGGGCCCCGGGGTCGCGGGGCTGCCGCCCCGACGCGCCCCTGGGGGGCTCGACTCGCCATCGGAGCGGTCCTCCGTATAGGTAGGTGCTCTGGGCGTGACCTGGGGCGCCTGCTGGGTCATCTTGTCTTCCTCTCCCTGGTGCGCAGGGAGGGGTTATCGCTCCTCTGGTCCTGCCATGCCTTTGTACGGAAGCATTGCGCCCAGGAGGTCCGGTTGTGGGGTCAGTGCGTCCGTCGTGGGCTCGCTCTTTGGGTTGGTCTTGCTACTCTTCTTTGGCGTGATCTTCTGGCTGTGTGGAGTGACTCCGTCGTGGCCGTCGACGCCGGCGAGTGGGGGCTGGGGGCGCGCGCCGCTCGCTGTGGGGCCCCCCTGGCCCGCAGTGTCGGCAGGGCCTCGGAGCGGTGGGGGTGGGGCAGGGCCGCGGCGGGCCTTGGTCCTCGTCGCCATGCGCTGGGCTTCGTTCGGAAAGCAGAGGCGGCGGCTGCTCCTGTAGGGGGGGGGGGCGCGCGAGGCGGCCCCGTGGATTGCCGCCGCTCTCGATGGCCCCGGGGCCGCGCCCGCGCCTGAGAGTCCTCGGCCCCCGGAAGCTGGCTCAGGTGTCTAGGAGATCCCCGGGGGCGTGCGCGGGCTCGGGCGCGTCGAGCGGGTTGTCGAGTTCCCAGAGGCCCCGGGGAGCATGATCGAGCCGGGCTGGTCGGTCGTCGGACGCTTCCCGCGGGGGCGCAGGGGGGAGATCATCGCGGTGCACGAAGCCCGGGCTACCCTCTACGGTTTCCGACATCTGCTTCGTGCTTCGAACAGCCTGGGGAAACGCGTGTTGTTTCTTGGGGGCTCGCAGTCGACCGCGGGGGCCGTCGCCGGGTTTCGAAGTGACAGCATGAGCGTGGTGATGGTGACGCAGTCGATTGCTGCGCTTTCGCTTGCGACGGGGTCTTCCTTACACTATCGTTCCTACTCACTCCCCGTCGCGTGGCCTTTGGGCTCCAGCGTCGCCTGGCCCGCTCGACTTCGCGAAGCATGCTCGCCCGAGCTCGGGTCCCGCGCCCGAAGGTGGCTCGGGCGGGAGGGCTGCTTCCGGCCCCTTTGGGGGGCCAGCTGGAGCGGCGTGCGGCGGCTCGAGGTATTCGACGGCGAGCCCCTCCTCGTCTGCGCCTGCCAGGGCGACTGGGGCATCCGCGTTCCAGCGGAGGCCAGCGGCGGCGGCGGCCCTGGCGGGAGGCCAGTCAGGCCGGGCCCCCTCTCGGGCCAAGCGCGCCCGACGCGGAGGCTCTCGCAGGGAGGTGGAGCGGAAGGGCCAGGTGGCCTCGCGGCGCCGCGCCAGTGTCGTGGCGGTGGGCGGCCTCGCTGTCCTGGAGACGGCCTCGGTTCGGCCCCGCGCCAGCGACAAGCGCCTGTCGCTGTTCCAGGAGTTCCAGGCGTGGCTGCAACGGCCCGCCCCGACGGTGGAGGCAGAGGTGGACGCGCTGCTCGCCGCGCAGCCGCAGGGCCCTCCAGGGCTTCAGGCGCCTCGACCCGCCGCAGTCGAGACTGCCGCTTCCGTTGGTGAGGGGCCGGGCTGCTGGCCCGCGCCCTCGCGCTCCTAGTGATCTTCGAGCTGCGCCTTCGGCCGGGAGAGGTATTCGCGATGCGCGCGGCGGACTTGGCGCCGCCGGCGCCCGGCGCTGCAGGCGCGCCCTGCTGGGCGATCGCGCTGCGCGCCTCGGAGGGGGGGCGGCCGTCCAAGACTGGCGAGTTCGACAATTTTCTGTGGTTGGACATCGGCCGCCATGCCCCCCTCGGCCCCGCCCTGCAGGCGATGGCGCGGGGTAGCAGCCCCAGCGTGACGCTCTTCGGGCTGACGCTCGAGGAGCTCGCGCGGGTGCTGAAGGGGGTCGTGCGGCGCTTCGGGCTGGGCGCGCACGCTGGAGACGCCCGCCTGTGCCAGCTCAGACGCGGCGGCGCCTCGCACGACTGCGCGTCGGGCTTGCGGACCTTGAGGACGTGGAGCTCCGAGGGCGCGGGCGATCGTGGGGTTCGGTCAGGAGGTGCGAGACAAGGAGTCGGATCGGCCGGGTCCTTCGCGAGCTCCCCGACGACCTCCGCGCCGCGCGCTTCTTTGCGAGCGCTCGCTGAGCGCCATCGTCCGCGGCCAGCCCTGTCGTGCAGCACCTGGCCCCAGGTCCGCTTCTTCTTCGAGGTGCTCTCGGGCTGCGGGCGGCTCGGCCAAGCGGTCTCGAGTGAAGGCGTGAACGTCCTCCTGTGGGACGTCGAGCTCGGGCCAGAGTGCGACCTGCGGCTGGCCGGGAACTCGGGCCGCATTCGAGATTTGATCAGATCAGGATGTGTGATCGGCGTGCGCGCGGGGACTCCGTGCTCTTCCTTTTCCAGGGCGCGGGATGCGCGCCCGTGTCCGCCGCCTTTACGTTCAGATGCTCATCCGATGGGCTTAGAAGACCTGCGCCCAGTTGGCGCCGACAAGGTTCGCGTGGGCAACTTGTTAATGTTCGTCTCAGTGGCCGTGGTGCGGGATGCCATAATCTTCAATGTCCCGGCCGCCCTGGGGAATCCAGCGCGGTCTCGTATTTGCATATGCCCCGCCATGCTTGGACAGCAGAGGTCTAAACGCATCCGTGTCACAGTGGCAGACTTCTGCACGTGGGGCGGGCCCATTCGCAAGTCGACCGCCTTCTTGAGTGCCCGCTTGGATCTTGCGGAGTTGGCCAGTGCTCGTTGTCATGGTTCCAAGCTAGGTGTGCGTAAGCACTCGGGGCTTCCTCGCCCCGCCATCCAAGATGAGAACGCAAGGGGGGTCTTCCTTTCCAAGATCGCCGAGCCCTGCCCCCTCAAGCTCAGCGAAGCCCTCGCGTCGGCTTATTGCAACGCATGGGCCTCGTCCAGGGCCGAGGCTTTTGACAGACGCATGTGTGCGGTCCTGAATGGGCCAGACTGCTGATCAGGTGGTCTAGGTATTCCGACAGACTTGGGAGTCGCGATTCGCGGATTTATTCTCCTATGCCTGTGTGCGTCGTCGACTGCTGCTTCGCAACGGTGCTCGACTTGTGCCGCGCCTTCTGGCGGAGAAAGGAGGTCGGGGGGATGCAGTGTACTTGTGCGTAGATCCTTTAGAGCGTATTGCGCCTGCCGCAGGGATGCGAGTTGCTCCGAAGGGGATCTCACATCCGCTGTCCGTCCCGTCTCGGCTCTAGCTTCACCCCCACTACCCCAACCGCCTGTTCTCACTTTAATTGCTTTTCCTTGCTAGTTGCATCTGAAGGGAGTCGCGATTCGCGGGTTTATCCTCCTATGCCTGTGTGTGTAGTCGACTGCTGCTTCGCAGAGGTGCTCGACTTGTGCCGCGCCTTCTGGCAGAGAAAGGAGTTCGGGGGGATGGTGCTGATGATGATGGTGAGGAGGATGAGGATGGGGAGGAGGAGGAGGAGGAGGAGGAGGAGCTGCAGTGTTAGGCCACAACGTATCAACGATGTTGCAATACACCCCCCCTCCAAGTTCCATCTTCATCTGGCCCTACAAAGAATCAGCAGGATTTCGGGAAACTCTCCATTGGAAGACAACCGTTTGAACATCACCACTGGTGCCATAACGTAATTCCTGGATCTTCAGCGTTGCGAGTCAACGTGACTGCTGCGTCCTGACCATCCGAAATCTGGCCAGAGCACAAGTCTTGGGCTTTTGATCATGCGAATCCTTGAACCTGTTGCGAACTTTCAATTCGAATGTTTTCGGTGCTGACGCGAAAACCACATTTTGAGACAACACCGCCGTTCATGTCTGAATGTGCTGCAAACTTTCCAAGGCGAGTGTGCGCGGCACTCAGGCGAGAACCACATTTTGAAAACCATCCGCCATCCATGTGTGAGGCTGGTGCAAACTTTTAAGACGAGTGTGCGCGGCGCTAAGGCGAGAGAGGGATGAGAAGAAGAAGGAGTAGGAGGAGGTGGAGTAGGAGGTAGGAGGGTGTTACAGATCACGCTCCTGCACATTCAACGGGATTGGGAGTGTGCCGTCCAAACTGCGCTCGTGGCAGCAGGGGCCGGCATCATCTGCTGTATTCGGAGTTGGCACGTGGCATCTGAGCCAGCACATCTTGGCAGACATTAAAAGATGGGAGTTCCAATGGTTACGGAAAGTGCTACGATTACGTCGTCGACCAGACGAAGGGGTAATGGAGTACAACCAGCGCGCTGCTTTGCTTATCTGTGCATGGTGTGAAACATGTGGCGTGCAGCTTTTGCATCACCGGGTACTCCGCACAGTATTTATGCAAGCGTGGCGGGAGAATCACCTCCCCGACCGTCGTTTTCAAGCACACGCTCTTGCACTTCAGCGATGCAGATCATCAGAAAGGTGGGGCGGCGCGCGGCAGGTACCGTGGAAACTCAGACGAACATGCAGTGCCACCCAGCGGACAACCGTTCATCCAGCTGGATGGGAAGATGCTTTTTGTTCTGTATACGGCACTCAGTGGCGCCAGTACCTGGACCAGTTCAGCACGGCTGCGGTTTGGAAGTCCAATTTGGCCCACTTCATAAACCAAATCTGTGGCTCATGGGGACTCCCTGGGGTAGCCTGCAAGGGCGCTGACAGAGAGCCGGATAGTCCAGCAGGAACACCGCCACTGAAGAGGCAGCGCGTGCCGGACCTCCTCAGCTGCCCCGGCACCCACACAACGCAGTGCGAAAAATGGTTGTGGATTGGGAAGGTTGCGGATCACGTTTCCTGCTTGTCGTCGACCGCCAGCCTGTGCAGCGCATCACCATGGGACAAGTGCTTTTGAAAAACAATGAAGCCGAATCCATATTCAGCAGTATCTGCAACAACTTGGCGTCGATGCTCGAATTGGGATGGGCCCCTCCTCAAGCACATCACGACCCCGTCGCATGGCGTAAGCGAGATTACAATGTCGTAGCTGATTTTCTCGCTAACTATACAATGGACTGAAGAGCGTCATGGTCTAAAAGCTTCGATTACCCTTTCCCCGGCGTGCATCTTTCTGAGTGTAATCTTGTAGCGCATTCTGATGGAGGTACCCGCGCGGGCTCGTGTTCGGCCACTGGGTGGGTGGTGGAGGCCGGGCGATGGGATGGTACAGCTTGGGAGTTTCACCCGATAACGATGGCTGGAACGTTTATTCCGACTCCTATTTCATCTTTCAGGGCAGAAGCTTTGGCGCTCGAAGAGTGCACGCTATTTATATCAAGGCTGTGCGCCTCACTCGCCCCTGTCAGAGGGTAGACGTGCGATTCTCCATTATGCATCTGTGTCAGATCTGGTCGGCCGACACTGTGTGTGGGGAAAGAAAGAAAGGAGGAGGAGGAGGAGGAGGAGGAGGAGGAGGAGGAGGAGAGGAGGAGGAGGAGGAGGAGGAGGAGGAAAAAAAGGAGGAGGAGGAGGAGGAGGAGGAGGAGGAGGAGGAGGAGGAGGAGGAATAGGAGGAATAGGAGGAGGAGGCAGAGGAGGGGATGGAGGAGGAGTGAGGAGGAGAGGTGGTCTACTCGGCAGTTTCCCGTCTCTTCAGATACGTCTGGGACGCCCCGCTGCGTGGCCCTGCCACGCCCACCTTGGCACGGAGAGGTCCGCATATCCTCCAATGGTCTCCAGTGTCGCAAAAAACGCCCCTCAGGTAAGTGGCCCTGGAGGCTTCCTGAGGGCACTGCAATTCAGTGGCTCTCTTGTCGTGAAGAAACTCCGAAGGGAGCACAGACTTGCCAGAGCGACCATGGTGCGTGGACACGCATACTAATTGCTCAGGGTACCTCGAGAGGCTTCCCGAATGCTGCTAGGGGCCTCACTGGGCTTAGAGTGAGCCAACTCAGATCGACATCCGGATAGCTCATCGCGTCGTGACGCACCCACACTGTGCAGGCGCAGCCGAGAGGGATACCTGTGTGCTGGAATACCACGGTGGCGCGGGCACAGCCGTAGTGTTGTACATGTGTCAGGCTTTCGTAGTGCCTTTTCGAGCGTCTTGGGGATATCTTGGCCCGTCCTAAGGCAATTTAGGGAGTCTTGGAACTATCTTTCGGCGACTCGGAGCCCTCTTGGGCCGTCTTGGAGGCCTCTTGGGGCCTTCTTGGCCCGTCTTGGGGCCCTCTTGGGCCCGAAAGAACTATGCGACACAGCGCCACGCGATCCAGAAGAAATGACAATTTTGGGTCCGTGTCCCCGATCGAATCTTCAGGATTGACGACTGAGGCTTCAGGGATTAGGCAAAGGACCTGAGGACATTGCAAGTCGTTTTTCAAGGGCACAGTGGCGGATTAGGACCAATGTTACTTAAAGTTGAATTCTCTGATTTTCACTGCTTTGCCAGGCTTGCGCGCTGCGCCATGTCGTCCTCA